ATATATTAAAGGAACATTTTGTGCAAAGATGGACATGATAAACGACAAAAATGGGAGGGACCTCACAGAAGCAGATCACGTCAAGAAGAGGTGGCAAGAATACACAGAAGAGTTATATCAGAAAGCTCTGGATGTCCTGGATAACCCAGATAGTGTGGTTGCTGAACTTGAGCCAGACATCCTGGAGAGCGAAGTCAAGTGGGCCTTAGAAAGCATGGCTAACAACAAGGCCAGTGGAGGTGATGCCATTCCAGTAGTTAAAATCTTAAAACTATTTAAAATCTTAAAAGAAGACACTGTTAAGGTGCTGTACTCAATATGCCAGCAAGTTTGGAAAAGTGGCCAGAGGATTGGAAAAGATCAGTCAACATCGTAATCCCAAAGATTGCTTCTTGGGAGCAAAGCGATGACAAACCTGGACAGCATCTTAAAAAGCAGAGACATCACCTTGCTGACAAAGGTCTGCATAGCAAAGCTATGGTTTTTCCAGTAGCGATGTATGGAAGTGACGAGCTGGACCATAAAGAAGGAACCACCAAAGAATTGAGGCTTTTGAATTGTGGTGCTGGAGGAGACTCTTGAGAATTCCCTGGACTGCAAAGAGAACAAACCTATCCATTCTGAAGGAAATCAACCCTGAGTGCTCACTGGAAGGACAGATCCTGAAGCTGAAGCTCCAAGACTTTGGCCATCTCATGAGAAGAGAAGACTCCCTGGAAAAGACCCTGATGTTGGGAAAGTGTGAAGGCAAGAGGAGAACGGGACGACAGAGGACGAAATGGTTGGACAGTGTCATCAAAGCTTGACCCAACTCCGGGAGGCAGTGGAAGACAGGAGGGCCTGGCGTGCTCTGGTCCCTGGGGTCACGAAGAGTCGGACACGACTTGATGACTAAACAACAACAAATTAGAGCACATTATATGAAAGCTTTTTGTAATGTTAGGTAGACGTTATAATTGTGTCTTGAGTATTGCTTGTCCAGTGGATAGAGAACTAAAAAGATGAAGTGCACACGTGCACAAAACAAGCAGACAAAAGAAAATTACCCTTTCAGCGAGACAGAAGATGACAAATATTAATGCTAAATTTAGAAGATGTGAACCATTTCTGGTGGGAAACTCTAAAGGCTGTGCATGGTACTAGACAGCAGGTAGGAGGCTAGCAGTCTATGTGCATGTAGTACCTTCTTCTGTTTCCCTGGCATCTTAATGGGAGGCATATCTGTCGGTTGTATACCTGTTTGATAAAGCAAGGGTATTCAGAATTGGTGTTGCTATATAACCTTATCAAAGAGGGAGTGGGTAGATTGTGAGTGATTGTAAAGGTGAAATCGTGAGGGGGAGACATGAATTGTTGGATACAAAAATGGAGAACCCTGCTGCAGGAAAAATGGATTCTTAAGAATTAGAGGATTTTGGCCAGCTTTTTCTACAAAACCACATTGTCTGGTGTGGGTGGTATAGATCTGTACCTGAACTCAGCTGTTGGCATCTCTTTGAGAACATACAGTAACAGCTGGATGTTGATATTCTTATACAGGAGAATGAACTGGAGAAAATAACAAGACAGTTCACGATAGAAATGGCCAAGAAGGGATTTATCGGTGAGGGAATCTCCTTTTTTCTGCCAAATTCTGTAAAAATGTTTAGTGTACAAGTTGTTATGAATGGAAAAGGAAATAGTTTGAGCCTAATACCTCGTATACCTGTAGGGCATATGGGAGTCTGGGCTTGGATAACTATGCTAAAATATTAAGAACCCCACTCATCAATTAACTGGGCTATGTGTGTTCTATGATTTTGTGCAAGGAAACAAAAGAGCAAAGAATGTGGTATCAGATGCAGAGCTCAGGTTTCTCTGCTAAAGGTAAAGGTTCCCCTTGACAATTTGTCCAGTCGTGTCCAACTCTTGGGGGTGGTGCTCATCTCCGTTTCCAACCCATAGAGCTAGTGTTTGTCCAAAGACAATCTTCCATGGTCACGTGGCCAGCGCGACTAGACACAGAATGCCGTTACCTTCCTACCATGGTGGTACCTATTTATCTACTTGCATTTTGCATGCTTTCGAACCTCTAGGTTGGTGGGAGCTGGGACAAGCGACGGGAGCTCACTCCGTCGCATGGAGTCGATCTTACGACTGCTTGGTCTTCTGACCTTGCAGCACAGAGGCTTCTGCAGTTTAACCCGCAGTGCCACCATGTCCCTCTCTGCATAGCTGTTGTTATTTGTGCATATTTGCCCCTACCCTTGTTTAAGGTCAAGAAAGCTGCTCCCAGGCTGTGGAACTTCCTTCCTTCCTTTCTTGTGGATGGGTTTTTGGGAGCTGACTGGGTGCAGTGGAAGATTTTAATGAAGTGGAAGGTTGATGTACATTTTAGAAATTATTGATATTGTATATTGATTGTAATTGAATTGTGGTTTGATGTTCTAATTTGTTTAAATTGTGTTTTGAATGTTATGACTTAATGAAAACCTATTTTTATGTTTTTACATCTTGTACAGTACTTCCCTTAACTCCTGATTTGGGAGAAAGGCAGGATAAGGGAAAGGGAGCGAGACTGCAGTTTTGAATCCACTTACGTGTAAAGGCATTTGAATTCCTTGGGCTATAAATGTTGCAAAATACATACTTGCTACGTCTAGTTAAGAAGTTTACATTATCTGGCTCTCTTACATATTTTTCTCCACTCCAATTTTTCTTTTATGTTCATCATAGTTGCAAAAATAAGATCAAAACTTTGATGGGCCAAATGTTGATTCTGGGCTGGAAGCTGAGGGGAGGGAGCGAAAGAAAGCCAGAAACTTGTTCAAGTTTTAGAAGAGGTAGCAGTGTCAGTCTGTGCTAGCATTACAGGCTAAAAACAAAAGAAAAATAAAAAATTGGGAAGACAAAACATTGTAACACCTTAAAGACTAACTGCTATATTTTAATGTGAGCTTTCGTGGACAAGTTCATTTCCTCATGTATAAGAATGGAACTGCGTGGTAAATATTTATACATTAATACTTGACTCCAAAACAAAGAGTGCGCTGGTCCTGGGGTCAATTTGTTTTTGCCTTTAAAGCCCTCTAAAACAACCCCCCACAAGCACCTAAAGACACCAAAGTCCCAGAGAAGCTTTACCTGATTCTCTTCTACAAACCCTGCAGGTTTGGTGAAGCTTGGGTTTTGGATGTCCAAGTTCATACACACGCAAATTGGGGCCTCCCAGGTAAGTCCCCTCTGGCCCTAGAGACATCAAAATTACAGAGAAGCTTCCCCTGATTGTCCTCTACAATCCCTCCAAGCTTGGTGAAGATTGGGTTTTGGACAGCCAAGTTATACACCCACAAAGTGCCCCCCCTGGAAAGTGCTCTTTAGCAGTTGACTTGGGAAACCCCAGTCTTAAACAAACTGGGAAATATTGTAGAGGAGAGCCATGGGAAGCTTCTCTGTGATTTTGGTGTCCCTAGGTGCTGGGGGTGGGGAACTTTCCTGAGGTGGCACTCTTCCTTGGTGTATAACTTGAACATCCAAAGCCCAACCTTCACCAAACATGAAGTGAGAGGAGGAAGCGTGTCCATAGTTTCAGGGTCTCTAGGTGCCTGGGGGGCTGTTTTATGGCCCAATGAATCAAATCCAAAGCCCAACCTTCACCAAACTTGAAGCGAGAGGAGGAAGCGTGTCCATAGTTTCAGTGTCTCTAGGTGCCTCTATGGCCCAATGAATCAATTGAATCAAACATTGCTAAAATTTTGTTGATTCATATTCATCGAGAGCATTGATTTGTATGAAAGTGAATCAATGATTTAACTTTTAAAATGAATTTTACACTTCATTTTTAAATTTGTGCCCATCTTTATTATTAATATGGGGAGGGGTTAAGTATGATGTTTTGGAAAGGTTTAGCAGTGACCTCAGCTTAAATGTGTCAGTGACAAAACTCTTTTTGTCCAGGATAAACAAGAAACTTGTATCTTTCAGCTATCTTCAAAATTCAGGTGATAGTGACTGATACCGTTTCTGGCAGTACAGTATTTGTACATATTAGGTAAAACAGAACAGTCAAAAAGTGAGTGCTCCAATTTGTTGCATGCAAACATGATGAATTATCTGATGGATCTATTATACCTGGTAGGTCCTGGGATTGATGTAGCAGCTCCTGACATGAGTACAGGAGAAAGAGAGATGTCCTGGATTGCTGATACCTACACCAACACTCTTGGATACAGGGTATTGTTGATTCTGTATACAAAAAGCTCAGTGTGTGGCTTTCTGAAAGGCATTATTTTTCAGTATTGTTGTCATCCTTCTGCAAACATCTGAGTTGACTTGAAAGGATGCTACTGACTTGTCTCTGTTTAGCATTTTAAATTGTTTTCTTTTTTAAATAATGTGACTGCATCTGTTCTTGGAGAAAACAGATTTCTAAGCTGTCTGGTGCTCCATGTAATACATCATTCCAAGGTGGTAGCCTTGTTAGTCTGCTGCAGAAAAAAACAGGAAGTAGGCTTGTGGTACCTTAAAGACTAATCCATTTATTTGGCATAAGGTTTTGTGACTTGTGGCCCACATCATAATAAATGGAGTGTTACCTGTGTTCACAGATTTTTTAATACACATGCTTGATTGGGAGAGGGATGAAGAGGAATAGAAATGTGCATGTATATATTATAGTATTATACTATAGTAGTACATACTATATATACATATATAGTAAATCTAGAAAATGAAACTGGCTTGTCATCTCCTCTTTCATGTTTGGAATTTTAGGATATCAATTCACATGCTTGTGTGACAGGAAAGCCCATCAGTCAGGGTGGAATCCATGGACGAATCTCAGCCACCGGCCGTGGCATTTTACATGGAATTGAAAACTACATCAACAGTACAAAGTATATGGATCTTATTGGCCTCAAAACAGGCTTCTCTGGCAAAACTTTTGTATTACAGGTAAACATGAATGGTTGTAGCATAGATAAAATCTCTTCTCTTTGCAGGATGGGCAAAATACCAGCTTATTAGTCTTCTGTTTCTAAAAACAGTCTGATATTCAGGAATTTTTTTTCAGTTCTGTGCTGAAAACTGGTAGTATCCAAAGTTAGAATCATGAGAAGCATGTTATACTCTCAGGTAAATGGATTTTATTCCGTTCTCTTTTTAATCTGTATGCAAAACAAATAATGGAAAGTCAAACTAGAGTCAGATGAAGGAGTGAATTTTTGAAGAAGCATCAAGATATGCAGGTGACAGCATCTTAGAAAACAGAAAGCAGCAATGACTTGAAATTACTTTTAGCAAAAATGAAAGAAGAAAGTGCCAAAGCAGGACTGCAGTTGAATATTAAGAAGACAAAAATCATGACTACAGAAGAGCTATACAACTTTAGCGTTGACAACGAAGAAATTGAAATAGTTGGAGGTTTTGTATCCTTTGGTTCAATCATCAATCCAAATGGAGAGTGGACAAAGACTGGCACTAGAAAGGGCAGCAATGAAGGAATTAGAAAAGATTATCCAATGTAAGAATGTGTTACTGGAGACCAAGATCTTGGAGACCAAGATCATCCATACACTTGTATTTCTAGTCACCATGTACAGGTTGAAAGCTGGATAGTTAAGAAAGCTGACAGGGGGGAAATCATTTGAAATGTGGTGCTGGAGGAGAATTTTGTGGATCCCCTGGGCTGACAGAAAGATGAACAAGTGAATCTTGGAGCAAATCGAGATTGAACTATCTCTAGAGGCAAAAATGCTAAACCTGAGACTGCCCTGCTTTGAGCACATCATGAGAATGCAGGATTCTCTGGAAAAAACAATAATGCTCTGAAAAGTGGAAGGCACAGAAAAAGAGGAAGACCAAGAATGAGGTGAACCTAAAGAAAATGACAGGCTTGAGTTTACAAGACCTAGGATGGGCAGTTGAAGACAACACATTTTGGAGATTGCTCATTCATAGGGTGGCATACATTGGAGGAGACTTGACAGCACATAACAGGTGCAAGGCTTCTTTAGTTCTGCTGAATTGGTGGTCCCTTTTTGTTATTCTCAAAGGATTATCCTGTAAGTGAGGTTTCTGCTGTTGTATTTTACATTTGAGCAACTGTAATAAATGTTTTATGTTAATGGTTCTGTATAGTCCTTTGGTGACATTACCAGGTAATTTAAGGTACTATTTCCCAGAAAATCTGAGAAAAGAAGTACTGAATCTGCCAAGAAGATGAAACATTTGAGAGCAGGTAGGCTCACATTGCGGATGAGTGATTCTGAACATTATTGCAAATGCCCATTGTTATAAAGTTACTGTAGTATTTTAAATTGAGACATGCTCCACCAGTGAAGTCTAGAGCTATTATGCTAAATCAGTGTTATTAGTTTCTGTTTGTGGTTGTGGGTTTTTCGGGGTCTTTGGCCGTGTTCTGAAGGTTGTTCTTCCTAATGTTTCAGTCTCTGTGGCCGGCATTTTCAGAGGACAGCAGTCTGTGCTCTGGTGTCGTTTGCTTGAGAATGGAGTATTTATGGCTGTGAGATAGGCTTTTGTCCTTTTCAGGTGATGGGTGATTAGTGTGTTTTGTCGTGGGTGTATTGTTGTGATAAGGAGGAGAGATTATCTGTCACTGTGATTGATGGGTGTCATTAGCTGGTGGCTGGGTAGAGTTCATTGACCTTTAGCACACTGTATTTTTCAGAGCTGGGAGCCAAGTTTTGTTGAGTTTCAAACTTTCCTCTTTTTTGTTGAAGTTCTGCTGGTGCTTGTGGATTTCAATGGCTTCCCTGTGCAGTCTGACGTAATGATTGCTGGTGTTGTCCAGTATTTCAGTATTTTGAAATAGAATTTCATGTCCAGCTTGTTTTAGGGCATGTTCAGCTACTGCAGATTTTTCTGGTTGTTTTAGTCTGCAGTGTCTCTCATGTTCTTTGATTCTGGTGTAGGCGCTTCATTTTGTGGTTCCAATATATACCTGGCCACAATTGCAAGGTATCCAGTATACACCTGCAGTGGTGAGAGGGTCCCTTCTGTCCTTTGCTGACCGTAACATTTGTTGTATTTTTGTGGTGGGTTTGAATACTGTTTGTAGGTTGTGTTTTTTCAAAAGTTTCCCCATGCGGTCCGTGACCCCTTTGATGAATGGCAGAAATACTTTATTTGTGGGTGGCTGTTTTTCTTCTTCAGTTCGGTGTTGTTTTCTTGGTTTGATGGCTCTTGTGATTTCATTTTTGGAGTAGCCATTTGCCTGTAGGGCCCAATTCAGATGGTTGAGTTCAGTGTTTCGATTATGCCTCTTTTTTGCTGTGGGTGGTGGTTGGAGTTTTTGTGTAGGTACCGGTCTGTGTGGGTGGGTTTTCTGTAGACCTTGTGTCCCAGTCGGAGGTCAGTTTTACGTAGGACCATGACATCTAAGAACGGGAGTTGGCCCTCTATTTCTTTTTCCATGGTGAATGGTATATTTGGGTGGATGCTGTTGAGATTGTTCTTGATTTGTCTTTTAGTGGTTTCTGTTTGTCTTTTAATATGAAACTAGGAATGTACACATTGTTGAGTAGCTTTGAAAGCAGCAGTGAAAGAGTGATTTATATGAAATCAGAAATCAGTAATAGTGGTAATGGTGGTGTGGTGATGATTGTAAGTGGCTGGGCGCATTTCTGAGTCTGAAGTAAGTTAAGATAAGAGAAAATGACTGGTTAAAACATAACTCACATGTTTCAGAAGTGAGTGGGATTTCAACGTCTCTCCTCAGTGCTAGATTAACGCTTAAGAGGAAGATGTGGGTAATGTAGCATGCAAAATGCATACATCCCTGTCTGTTTCTGTCACCTCTTTGGCCGCCACCACTATGCTCACTGCAAAGAAAGCTCAGTAACCTTGACATTGTTTTTAAACTCGCTGCCTTCCTGAAAGCATGATTTGTCATCTAACCAGGCATTACTGTGAATTTGGCAACTTCAATGGCGTGGCTGTGATGTAACGCCTTCAGTGGGTTTGGTGGAAGCGGGGAAAGTGTGGCACCTGGCCCTTAGTGCAGCACCTCTGCTTCGTAGTGTTGCTCTAGTAGGAGATGCAGGTTAATATGCTAACTGGTGCACCATGTCTTTCAGATTCTCTATCACTATTCTTGGGTTTTTTTATTGCAACAGAATGACATAGTCAGACTGTGCATAATTCGTTTTGTTGCAGCGTACAGCATGATTAATTGAGCAAGAGCAGTATTTTGCTTGGGGACAACCTCTTTTGGATACCAGCTCTCCATCAGAATGTCTATTCCTTTAACACATTTCTTTGTGGGGTTTTTTTAAGTTGGCAGTCTGCCAGTTTCCCTTCAATCCAGTAGAAATATGTTTGTTCCCTGAGCAATGTTTCCTGCAGGTCAAAAAACTTGGCTGGCAGAGCGGCGCTTGTGCGAGGAACTGTCTTTTAGTCACCTCTATTGAATTAAATTTGCTGAGCTATTCCCAGAGGAATAGTTCCCTTACTCTAATTAACTTACCAAGGAAATTAAACTGAGAGGGGAAGCCCTCTAGTCCTTAGTGAATGTTGTCTTTGTGGATTGTTTTTCCTTCTCCAGTAAATCAAGTTTCAGTTTTTTGTTGAAGAAATCAAGCAGGGTTGCAGGTGGGCTAGAATATAAACAGTGTGTGAATAGTTGCTTCAAGGAGAAGAACTCAGATACTGTGAGTTCTTTTCCATCCATAATCACCTTCATCTATTCTTTGCAGGCAATCCCACCTGTAATGGATTGTACACTGTATCTGATTGTCACCTCAGTTATTGCTAGCATCTGTAGAATGATCCATTACTATTGTCATGTGTAGGTTTTGGTGCTCCATTGGATTTTTCCTTTGAAAAGTCAGTTTAAACAATCACTGCTTGGGTGGAAGACATTTTTAGTTGTCAGAAGTAATTTAATTGTGGGTCCTGTAAGTGTTAATACCCTGTTTCACCAAAAATAAGACTTAACCTGAAAATGAGAGTAGTATGATTTTTCAGGATGCTCATAATATAAGCCGTACTCCAAAAATAAGTCCCAGTTAAGTGAAACCCCACCCTCCACCATTGTACAGCAACCAGAATAAGATGACATGACTGTATTTGAATAAACATAAATTGTTGTACATGAAAAAAATAAAACATCCCCTGAAAATAAGCCCTAATGCCTTTTTGGAGCAAAAATTTATATAAGACCCTGTCTTGTTTGGGGTGAAACATGATAGGAGGAAAGAAGGCACTCTTTCTTTTTGTAAAAAAAGATGAAACAGTACTGAGCAATTCACAGCCTCTGTTTTTAAGTGATCAGTTTGGTGGACAGGAAATTTGTCCTGTTTTGTAGACAGTAAAACATTTTTCTGTGAGGGCCTGCTCACACGATGGAATTGTTCTCTAGTTATCCGCTAGTTAGATTGTTATTTCCCCCCTAGTGACATGACAGACAGTCAAATATAGAGACATTTTACTGGTCAGTGGAATAACTGGATAACATTTCCCCATCGGGAGGGTTGTGTAATTTTGTACATCTGTTGTACTGGTGCATTCTTTACCAGGTTTGCCTGTGTGCATGACCTGTCCCACTTTACAAAATGGCGGTCTGTATGGTGGCTGCCAACTCTGTGGCACACATATTAATTTTTTTTCGTAGATTTACTGGTACATTGATATGTTGGTAAAAGTATTTCGCCAGCAATACAGGACTGGCTCCCATTGTTTTTTTAAAAAATCTATATTAATGATACATTGCACCATTGGTACAAACAAGTCAACTGGAGGTAGTCATGCAGAAATTCTAAAACCGCAGCGATTCATCCCAAGTCTGCAGAATGGTATCTGCTCACCACTTCCCTCTCCTGGGGGGGGGGGTAACCCAAAAGAACCGCTTCAGCCTTACATCTTGCCATGCCACTGGCATCAGCATATCGAGGCCCTCCAGGACACTTGCATGCACCAACATGGAACTATGGAGAACTCTTCAGTTTTTAAGGAGGGTGCACCTCTTTTTGAAGTTGGAAAAAAGAAGATGGCCATTTGCCCTGATGTGCAGGTCCCACAATTGCAGGACCTGAGTGAGTTCATTCCTTGAGTGGAGAATGGCACAGAGCAACTTGGTCCATTGCTTCATGACTGGCATTTCAACACGCTGCTGTTCTCCAGTCATCGTGAAGACACAGTCGTCATGATGTTGCAGGATGGAATAGGAAAAAGGAAATGGAATTGGAGACAGTGGCAGAAGTAGACCAGGAAAGGAACAGGAGAACAGAAGGTTGCTGGGGGAAAGGCACTAATCCACTAGTATGAACAGAGGATAGGCAGGTGTTGCACGACTCCATCTATTGTCGTACTAGTGGCATAACCATATATGGCGGTCCATTGTCCATTGTGCGCAATGCATTTCTGCAGAAGGAACCAGTGTAATGGAGAAAATGTCTACAAATAGAAAACCTCTTACACTTATACAGTATTGATATATCAATATATTGATAAATTGAATAATTAATTTTTTAAAAAAAGAATTGAATGTATAAATAGACCCTTGAGCATAGAGAAAAAATAAACCAGAAACATGGTGTAGCCAGCCATAATGATTCAAATAGGAGGAAATAAACAGCTGCCACTAAAAGTGCTTGGGACATTCGTACCAGTATATACAGTATGTGACCACAATCCCATACAACAGAGGTATGGAAACTATCGGAAGAACTAGAGGACATTTTGACCAGTGTCTGAGACACTTAAATACTCCTGCCTTAGGACAAAGGGAGCTTCCATGTGCTCTCTGCTGGGCATTAGCACTTGTGAGCGCAAGTGCCCTGAGGTGTGAGTAAGCCACAGTTGGGTCTTTCAGACTTAGTTTTATTTTCTCTTGCTTTCCTTGGTAGCAAAGGCTTTCAGGTTACATAGGAAAAATTAGATTGTGTATCTCAATTCCCTGTTGTTAACCACACAGTCATACCACACAGTTAGAGTAAATATAAAAGCAGTTTGAGAACACTGTGGGAAACAGCTGGATAGGATCGCTGGAACAGATTACAAAGCAAATAAAACAAAACCCAATTTCTAGCTTTCACTGTTGCAGTTGGCCTTTCAACATGAATGTGTTACAGTACTGTAGAGGTCTTTCTAGTATCATTTAAATCTACCTTTACAGCATTATGACTTCTTGGTTATTTTTTTTTGCCAGCCAAAAACTTGTCCCATGCTTCTCAATTTTGTCTTCAGGGCTTTGGAAATGTGGGTCTGCATTCTATGCGATACCTGCACCGGTATGGAGCACGCTGTATATGCGTTGGAGAGCTGGATGGTGCTATCTTTAATGCTGATGGGATTGACCCTCAAGAGCTACAAGACTATAAGCAGGTATGCGGGATCCCATGGCAACATGTAACCCAATGTAGGTGTGCCTTCCAATGCCAGCAGTGAACCCATTTCAACCACAGAAAAGGCCACTTGGTATTGTAGTGGATACTTGAGCATTTGTTCTCCTTGGATATCAGTGTGGGCAAGCTGAAGTATGTTTCGTATTCTAGGAGCATGGTACAATAGTTGGCTTTCCCAATGCTAAGAAGCTTGAAGGCAGTGCCCTTGAGGTCCCTTGTGATATTCTCATCCCAGCTGCTATGGAGAAACAAATCACCAAGGCGAATGCTCATCGTGTCCAAGCAAAGGTAAAGCTTTTAAGTGTGTGTCTTTTTCTGAGAAATTCACAACTTCCTTTAGAGGTGAAAAGAAAAACAGTGGAACATGCTGTATTTGAGCAGTGGCAGAATCTGGTTGCTGCAAGGCTTGTGCTCCCTCAACACCAAATGTGCCCATTTTGGGATCATTGTGGATATGATGTACCTCTATAGATTCCCTAAAAAGGTAGCAAATGGATGGCGTTGTATTGGCAGGCTAGCTGGTGCATGTTCAAAGACAGGCATTTTCTTCCTGTCTTTGAACATGAAGGAAACTCCTCTCTCACACAAAGACTTGGTATCTGGAGAAAAACTGTACTGTTTTTAAAAACAACAAAGTCTTATGACACCTTAAAGACTAACACATATATTCTTACATATACTTTCATTGGCTGCTTGGGGGTGTATATAGTTGTCTCTATATAAAATACTTCTAAGCAGCTTGCAGGCTACTTGTTTTAATGGCTCCTGAAGCAATCCGTGAGAAGCTGTTAGGGCTGGAATTGGAAACATACACTTTTTCTCATTAAGAACTGGAATGAATGAGATTATGGAGCTTCTCAGATCAAGGAACGGGTGGGGGTGGGAACAAGTAAAACGGCCTTCTATTGCTGTTTGTCTTCTTCCTGCATCTCACTTGCAGTATGACAGTGATATTTGTGATCAATTCACCAATTTATATGGTGAGAAAAATTAAAATACAAGAACTGGTGATGGTGGGTGACCATATGTGGTCCCCTGGTCATAAGACATGTGAGAAATCTGCATGATTTCCCCATTTAGATACAGTGATGGAAGCATGCATCATGGAGTGGGGCACAGTTTTCCATGCTGGTTTTCTGCATGTTAAAGTTGTAGTTGGAAGTAATTCTCTATAGTATATCTTGTTTGTTTGTTTGTTTGTTTGTTTGTTTGTTTGTTTGTTTATTTATTTATACCCCACCTTTCTGCTCAGAAGGGATAAATGTATATCTCTAAATTTCTTCTAATCCCCAGAGACTTCCTGTTGAGCTGTCATGTTGAACAAGGTTAGATAAATCTCTGGTAGCTATAGGCACACTGGTCAGCGCCAAGTGTTAACAACTGTTTGAAACAATTTGTCAGAGCCTCATTTATGTAAGCCACACGACATTTATTTGCCAGGGTAGTTGCTCAGAGTTTGTATACATTGTAGGGGCTGCTTTTCTGGTGCCTTTTGTTATTGTTTTGTGCCTCACAGATTATTGCTGAGGGTGCCAATGGCCCTACAACCCCGGAAGCCCATGACATCTTCCTTCAGAGAAACATCCTTGTCCTCCCGGTATGTCTGCACAAATCTTGTCTCCACTTTCATTACCCGATGTTTGAGCCTCTGGCTAAGCTTCCATTGTTGAGGGTTGTGTAATATCTTCACTCTTGTAGCAGATCTGTGCAGTGCAGTTATGCAAAGAAGCATGATTGAGATTAGCAGCATTGGGATGGTATAAGTGTGGGGAAGTGTGGCACTAAATGGATATACAAAGAAGGTTTATTTGCACCAGCTTTGTTCACAGTCTTGCCTCTTCTTACATTACATACAGCAGTTAGAGTCAGGTTGGGACAGTATAAAGCAGCAGGGTGGCTTTCTTCCCTACATTTTGCTTCTGTTTTCTTGCCAGCTTTATACAAAATAACTGAAATAACAAAAAGCAGTGCTCCATAGAAAGTGACACAATTGTTCTGTATGATGTAAATGTCCATTGTCACCTATGGAGATCATTGGTCTATGGTGGACTGACATAGAATATATAGATCTCTCTTTTTCCTGGTGAATGCTAAAGAAATGCACATGGCTGTTCTGGTTCTTGGAAAGCAGCCCCAAAACAAATAAGCTCTCTTCTCAGATGGTCTTTTATGACAGTACTATTCACTTCTTCCGAATCAGTTTGGATCAATGGTAATAGCATTTATCCAGGAAGTCTTCAGTCAGCATGCATCCGGTAGACAGTATGTACCGAGACATTCAAGAAGCTTTTTATTAATTCCCTCATCAAAGGCTCTTGAATAGATTAAGCAACTGTAGGGGTCCTTTTACAAATGTGTACCTGGTTATATAGTAGGCAGTAGAGTATATGAATAAATGGCCACTCTACATAGTGGAGTGAAGAAGACAGTGAAGTGTCTCCTGAGGATTTGTACTGGGTTTGGGACTGTTTATTTATAAACAAGTTTGAGGCAGCTGAGTTTGTGGATCCTACCAAGTTACGTGTATGAATTCACAGTTGACCCCTCAAAGTGCCATGGTTACAGATAAGTAAGCTGTCCCTCTGTAGGGCAGATGCCTTTGGAACAATGAGGGTAGTTCAGCTATCCCCATCTCAGGGGGTGATTATGTTGACAAATAATGGGATTGGGAAGGTCTGTTTTATGTTACTTTACATGACATACAAAACAATGTGAATCAGCCCAGAGCCCGCCCACACTCTGCTACAAGAGTGAAGATGCACTTTTGTCCATCACTAGGGCAGTGCAATTGCTGAAGCCAATGCAGCTTCATGGCTGATTGAGCAACCAAACATTGTCTCTCCTAGCTTCCTAATTCAAGGTGGTGAGAGAAGAAGCAAAGGGGCACTCAGGTCCCCTCAACCGAGCACTCCTTGTCTCCAAACCATTTAAAAAAAGGGGGGGGCTTAGTGCAAGCACTGGTGCGCTAGAGCAGCTGGAGACCAAGGGGATTAAAAGGAAGGAATCAGCAGAGAATGGGGAGGAAATTGCTAATAGGCAGCTGGTTAAAGTAGCTCTTGTTAACCAACAACTTGTTAGTAGCTCTTTGCAATTTGTTAATATAGCTCTGATGTAGCTGTGCCTCCTACAGATCTCGATGGCTACAGCAGAAGCTGCCTTATCTAGCTGCCGACATGCCAGGTTGCCAGTTTCCTCTTTCTCTTGATTCCTGTGTGGTCAGCTAAAGTGAACTCAGTCAGGGCAACCCAACTTCCCAGGTGCAATTTCATCATGGATCTATTCATGTTTTCCCTGCTATTTAAGTCAAACCTTGAGAAAGCATATTGTAGAACAGAGACAGATTGACAGGACAGCAGATCAAAGAATTGGATCACTTTCCCTAAAATGAAAAACTAAAACATATTCCCCTGTGAGCTTTCTGGAGGTATCTTATTAGCCACAGTGGGAAGCAGGATGCTGGCTCATTATGGTCAGGTCCTTCTGGATTGACCAGTGTTTCCAACATGTATAGTTTGAAAACAGTCAAGGAATATAAAATTTTATAGCAGGCAAAACCAATAAAAATAAAAAATAAATAAGACAAAACCACTGTGGTACCTTAAAGTCTAACTGCTACATTTTAATGTGAACTTTCATAGACAAGTCCACTTCCTCAAACTTGTCCACAAAAGCTCACACTAAAATATAGCAGTCTTCAAGGTGTCACAGCATATTTTTTTGCCTAATATACTAGCACAGCTACCTCTTCTAAATCTTTCATAGGATGAGGAATCACAAGCAGCCTCTACCCCAGCCACCCTCATTTGCTAACACTTCCCTCTTTACCCAGCAATGGCATTTTAAAGCATATGTAAGTACATACCACTATTTCTCATGCCTTCAGATTCTTTGTTTGTCTCTTTCTTTCCCATAAAATCCTGGGCATCTTCTAAGACCATGCATTGTCTTATCCCAAATTCACCTGTACCAGAGCATTAACTGTACAGTGTGTATAAGAGGAGGAAGGAGAATTTTATTGATTTTTTGGAGACCAGGTACACAATCTGTCCAGAGGAATCAAGTGTTTACATTGTACCAGGCTGGCCGGTTTCCATCCAATCCCATTAGAAAGCAATCTGTGCATGCTTGGTGGCTGCACTAACAACTCATAATTATCATCATTTGGGATGTTATCCAAAGTGCAGAGTTGCCATAACAAGCTCAGATTGTTCCTATTCATTGCACAGGTGCTTTTCTTTGAAAGAGAGAGAGAGAGAGAGCTAGCAGGAAGGAAATGACTTCACCAGGGAATGGTAACAGTGACCTATCTCTTTGGGCCAGGATTTGTACATAAATGCAGGTGGTGTGACAGTATCCTTCTTTGAGTGGTTGAAGAATCTGAATCATGTCAGCTATGGACGCCTCACCTTCAAATATGAACGTGACTCTAACTACCACCTGCTGATGTCAGTACAGCAGAGCCTGGAGAGGAAGTTTGGGAAGACCAGTGGGGAAATTCCTATTGTGCCCACACCAGAATTCCAGGCCAGGGTGGCGGTAAGTCATAGCATCCTGATAAATCCTCAGTTTCTGCCCTGTCTGTTCCTTGAAGACAGCCCAGTCCCTGAGTGAAGAATACTTATGCCTCTCTTTTACTCTGTTGGGAGGCTACACTGGAAGGTTTCTGTTCCTTGCTGTGAAGTCTCAGGGAGGGACTTGGTTTTCTGCAGTTTAGGTGGCAGAGAGAGAGAGAGAGAGAGAGAGAGAGAGAGAGAGGAAAACCTTGCAGTTCTATTGAACTGCCTGTAGGTGGCACAGTTCAAAAGTAGCATACAAAACATTTTAAAACAACAATTAATTGGTATTAGCATTTATCTGTGAAAGAGTATGTCCTCAAAGTGAATACTTGCCAGATTCTAATCCAAGCAGCTATATCAGAGGGTTGGAGTAACTAGCTTGCAGCCATGGTTTGGGAATTCAATTCCCTGTTGTGCTTTCCAGGAGAAATGCCAGTCTGTGTAGCTTTAGACATACAGCAAAGCTCTAGAGCGCCACTGAAAGAAGGGAATGAGAAACTGCATATGACAACTATATATATATATAAATTGAAAATGGTCAACATTAGTTGGATTAAAGTAGACAGCACATCATTAATTATTCAACATTAATCTAGATTGTCTGCAGCCAGAAGGGCATGAAGTGAAGCCCCGAGCTCTAATGTGGGTCTATGAAGTTCTTAAAAATAGCATAGACGTTTTAAAAAAGGATTGTGAAGGAACTATTAACTGAAGCTTTACAGAGGGACCATCAGCTTTTTCAGATTTTTGTCATGCCTGTCCTCTGGAAGTTAAGAGCAGCATATGTGAAAGTTGTGTCATTGAATTCTTACAAGAGAATCATGTCCTATGAATTTAGTGGTGCACACTCCCATGCAGAAACTACATGCTCTAGAAAAAAACAGATCAGATCTACAGCAACTCCTGTCATAGTACATCACACCAAGCCCTCCACTCAATCCATTTTTTTGCACTCCAGTTTTTACAGATATACCACATTTTGGAGGGTATGAGATTGCTCCTTTTTTTTTCACCAGTTGTCTGCATTACCCTACGCTGCCATCCCATTCACCACCTCCACTCCTTTGTAAATTACCATTGTGTCTTCGGTATTTTTCCTTTGCACCTCCATTCACACATGCAGATGAATGATTCCTTTTTTTTCTTTAATTAAAATCACACATCTGAAGATGTTCATAAACACTTTGTTAAAAAAATTAAAGAGGAGGGCAGGAGCAGCATCTGATGACATGCCCAGGGCAACAGATGGTTCCCACCATCTGATGACATGCCCAGGGCAACAGAGCGCACTCTGGATTAAAACAAACAAACAAACAAAAAACACTGCAGTTTGGGGATGTGTGAGGATGTTATGAACAGGGTTGTGCCCATTTGCAGTTAACCCACAAAAATGTGCATCTTCTGGTTCATCACCAATGTGTAGTTCCAGCCCAAGCCTACCATTTTGTCTACTGAGTGACAGAAATCACCTAGTTATAAGTGAGTAAAAGTAGAATGCTTTTTCTTATAGGGTGCTTCTGAGAAAGATATTGTGCACTCAGGATTAGCTTTCACCATGGAACGTTCAGCCAGGGTAAGTGCCCCAAATTTCACTTCTCTGTTCACTCATTTCAAAAAGGAAGAATGATTGAGGCCAAGCCTTCTCTATCACATAGGAGGTACTGTATTCTATCTCTAGCCAGTCTTGTTATTTATGTTTCTGTAATGTCCATTATAGGATGATCAGAACAGTTCTCATTATTACTGTGGTGTCACAACCCAATTTGTTGTACACATCACTTTTGATGTTTTCAGTTAGGACAAAAAGTTTTGGGTCTTTCTTTGGTTATGTTTTGTGTTTTTATGTCTTTTAGCAAATCATGGGCACAGCCACAAGGTATAACCTAGGCTTGGATCAAAGAACTGCTGCCTACGTGTGTGCCATTGAAAAGGTCTTTAAGGTTTACAGTGAATCAAGTTTCACTTACTGAGGCTAAATGTCTGTTGGTCATCTATCATCTAAAGAGAAAAATGTGTGGATTGCAATAGAAGAAGAAGGAAAACACGGCCAAAAAGCGATCCTGAGCTTTCGCTATAGAGTTCTGGATGCTTTTCGTTTCACTCCCTCTCCTGCTTTCCAGTGCCTCTGATCCACAGTTGTAATTGTTTGAGTTTTTTTAGCAGTTCTTTTTTTAGGCCTGCAGATGGTGCCAGCAGCCCAGAGATGGTGCTCCTTTGGGGATTTCCAAAGTGCTTCTGTTGAAATCAATAAGCATGTATTGGAGTTTTGTTCCTTTTCCCATGTGGCTCTGCTTTACTGTTTACTTGATAAGCTCTTGTTTCCAGGTTACATCCATGTCACAGGCATCACAATTTTTGTTCCAAATCTTTGACTAGACTTGTAGCGATAATGACTTTCTATCTGTTTGGCGACATTTTCTGCAAACGCAGACTACCACTACAAGTAAATCTGCTTTTTGTTCCAGACTTTGTTCCACATATGTTTTCAATATATATATTACAAAAAGTTAATTGCCTTTTTTGTCTTGAGACTATTAGAAAACTCAAGCAATCTCAACATGAAGTCTGCGTATTCTATTGAATAATGGCCTTTCAGTACAATGATCTTCCAATTCAAAACAGCTCTGTGTAGAGCCATGTGATTTTGGCTGCATTTTGGTTTCTGTGGTTTGGCCGTGCTGTCTTCAATCACAGGGTCTGTTCTTTACTTACAAAGCACATGAAGAAGCTTGCTTAGTAGGATTTAATTTATTGCTATTATGCATACTGGGTTGGGGTGGCAGTAGCCAGTGAAGCATTTGTCTAGAACAGTGGTTCCCAATCTTGGGTCCCCAGATGTTCTTTGACTACAACTCCCAGAATTCCTGATGGGCTTCTGGGAGTTTTAGTCCAGGAACATCTAGAGGCACAAAGTAGGGAACCACTGGTCTAAAGTAGGACCACATGCCACCAGAGATGTATAATATAGTCAACCTGGTAAAGTTGCTGTCATTTCCATGCTGTTATCTCTTCATTTTGCTGAGCAGCTTTGCCTGCTGGCTGAACTTTGATTTGCATCTTACAGTGAACTTAAAACTTGGCACAAATCTAAGGGATCCAAGGCAAACTGCATGTCTGACTCAGAGGGGAAGGATGACAAGATAGAGGAATTGTATCACTTTTTGCATAGACCTAGATGGGAAATCTAACATGTTAACTATTCCACAAGACTATTAATGATGAGTCTATTTTTAAATCTGCTTGAATACATTGCTGGCCAAATATCATCATCCTAGTTGAACTAGTGGCAGAAGTTATAAGGTATGTCTTGCATGGCAAGTAGTTAAACATTCTGCCATAGATTCAAGTTTCAATTTGTATCATACTGTGTGGCCTTCCCATTTGTAAATGGTAACAAATAAGAATGTCAGAGGTGATATGATTGAGTCATATCTTCGCCTAGGCATACTTAGATAGCCAGCTTGCCTGTCTCTCAGTGCATAATTTTTGAGCACATGCCACCTGCTGTTATTCAGTGTCAGCCATCACTTATTAGTGTTGAAAAGCTATTTGCCACCAGAAATCCCTACCAAACAGATTGGCCACTGCAGATTTGTGATACTGTATTATCAATGGAAACCAAGTAGTTTATTTTTACATTTGTTTCACACATTGACAAGTTGCATTGGTCTGCCATTGGACCCTAGGCTGAATAGTTCAGAAACTCCTGTGATGTCCCTAGAGGTTCCAGTATGGCTTGTTTACAAAGAGTCACTTCATTCTGGAAGTGGTTGTGTGTACAGTTACTCCTGGAAGAGACCTGTGCTTGGTTCCTCAAACCTTTCTGACAGTCTGAAACCTCATGAAATCAGGAAGGTAAAATCTAGTGGCTAGTGGAAGCTTTGATGTCCCAGTTGACATCATGCTGTCTATTGTATCATTTTGTATTTGAGTTGGGCTGAATTATCATAGTCCTCCTCAAGTGTTGGCTGCCTAGGGGCTCCTTAGTTGATGGGAGATGTGCCAAGTTTTGCTGCGTGCTGAAACCTTGTTTTTGTTTGTTTGTTTTTTTCTCAATAAAGCTAGAGGAAGGTTCCTTTCCAGAAGATTTAGTAAATACATCAAGGAAAATAAACAGTGCTTCTGGTGACATGTGTCCTTCTTATAACTAGAAGTGTTGGGAGAAAGTGTCATTTTCTGTCACTGTGCTTGTCACAGCCCAGTCATACTGCAGAAGTTATCTTGGAAAGACAATACACTGAGTGTGGTTAAAGCAAGAGGAAGCACTGTTTGCTCTGCCTGACTGTGGCTGGTTTGTGTGCCTTAGGAATGCTCCTCATTGGCCAATGAGTGCCTCACAAATGTGTCGGAATTGGTGTCTGAATTAAGCCATTTTCTCCACATGATTTAATAGGCTGGAGCCTTCTCATCTGCTTGGGAAGAGTGCTTCATGTTTTCCAGCCACCTGGAATCAGTTTAGGAAGGGAGGAGGATAAGGACTGTGCACATCACTGTAGGGAACCATTAGGGAGCACTACTGCTGCTTGGTAGATACTGTCTTCTTCCCATAGTAAATTAATATAAGACTGTTTTGTTCTAGCTTTCCTGACTTGTGATCTTTGTAATCCAAGCAAAGGATTGGGTTGGGCAGCTTTCCTCTAGGGCTTATTTTACTCGAAGCCAACGTGAGGGCCTGGGTGGGTGATATTTTTATTAGACCACTAAAAAAATCACAAACATAAACTAGCTTTTGATTTCATTAGGCTAGACAGCACAGAACTGTGGACATGGATGATGAAGAAAAAACATAAAAGTTCCAAAAATCATGGGCAAATGTGCATGCCAGGTTCCTTTGTTAAAAATAAGTTTTCAGAATTGGATCTGCAAACTCAAGTTGAGCGATATCATACCTTAGATTTAGATTAGATATCCTTCAGTCTTGAGAGACTATGGTAACGTGCTCTGTATGGAGGACTTGGAACAGCGTCTAGTGTGGCTGAGAAGGCCAATTTGAGAGTGACAATCCCTTCCACACTGAAGACAAATACAATCTATCCCCTGTCCAGCTCCCTGATTTTGCTGCTTTCATGTCTGCCTCTTTGCCTCGGCCTGCTGGCCAAGGGTCTCTTCAAATTGGGAGAGGCCGGGATAAAACGCCTGCCTCCAGGCTGAATGCTCAGATGTCAGGGTTTCCCATCTGTTGAGGTCCATTTCCAAGGCCTTCAGATCCTGCTTGCAGATATCCTTGTATCACAGTTGTGATGATAGTCTTATTCTGGGATGTATATGGCAGCACTGAGTTTTATGGATCAGGCTGTACTTACTAATAAAAGAATAGCTAGTGGTACCGGAATCTCAATTTACTATAAGCTGAAGGGAAAGTAAGCTCTCCAAATATCAAATTTGTTAGCACTCACTGCCTATGATACATTCTCTTCTTTTCAAACAGCCAATCCTCTAAATAGACACTGTTCCAACCATGTCCCAACACAGTATCCTGGGCATTTCAGATGCCCTGCAATCTTTATAAAGATTGCCTCTGGTGCCAGTATAGGACTAGAGATGTGCTACTTAAAAGGTAATTTCTGGAAAGTGCATTATATGTGCATATATTTGAGTTTTTATGTACTATATACTATGTACTTCCTAGTGCATAAGTAGCAAAACTTGTATATTTTGTAAAAGGTAGTAATAACTGTGTACTTAGAATTAACTTTAAACATGAAGCCACCTTGTGCTATATTAAAATAATATGTGTGATGTGTGCAATCAACCCAATTCTGACTTATGTAACTCTGTTCATTAGCTCTGGAGCTACTTGTACTTGTCCTCCGCTCTTCCTCAGTAGCATGTTGGACGCCTTCCGACCTGAGGGGCCCATCTTCCAGCGTCATATCTTTTAGCCTTTTGTTTCTGATCATGGGGCGTTCTTGGCAAAGATACTGGAGTGGCTTGCCATTTCCTACTCCAGGTGGATTGCGTTTAGTCGGAACTCTCCACTATGTCCTGTCCGTCTTGGGTGTCCCTGCACGGCATAGCCCATAGTTTCTCTGAGTTACTCAACACCCTTCGCCACGACAAGGCAGCAATCCATGAAGAAGATATAAATAATTGCAGTAGAGTTATGGCTGTTAGTACAACTGACCACTATTGCTTTTTCTAGGCCATGAGCTAACATCACTGTTAAAGTATGTCCTTATTGCATTACATAATGACAGCATATAGGTATTCTCCTATGCTTCTCTGTCTATATCTTTGTAAAATTTTGCTTGATGCTTAAAAGAATTAGGGGAGAGGGGAGAACCCACATAAATTGGAGGAAGGAGCGGGGGGGAAAAACAAACCCAGGGAGGTTGTACATCAGAAATTATGTGGCAGTGACTTCAATCTCTTTTGTTTGCATACAAACTGGCATCCACACAATAGGTTTCTCATTTTCTCAAGTCCTTTCTTTTGTATTAGGATATTTTGCATGAGTGCTGGTAATCGCACTATGAAGTGTAAATTTCAACCTGAATGACTTTTGCAGATAGGGTCCTACTTTTCTAATTCTCACAAATTCATTTTTTGTTGCTTCCCTTATATGTTTTGGCTGTTGTTAGCAACTTGCTACTATACTATAAAAATGCCGTTTTACTTATTCACATATTGTCAATATGAACAGTTGAATGAGTAAAGGAAACTACTACTTATTATTTCCTAGGAGGCAAATGATCCAATAGAATCTCTTGGTGATCAGGCTTAGATTTAGTCAGTATTTTAATTAGTGGCCTCAGTGAGCTGTGAAGGATTAACAAAGCAACTTTGTGAGATAGGTTGCATAAAATGCATTCTTATTAATGGTCTTTGTGATTTGCACACATGGGACCACCTGAAGAATCATACTTATAGATAAGCAACCTGCCCTTAGTACCACAAGTAAAATCATATATTTAAGGGAAGAGAATACTTGCTGATAGCAGAAGGTATTTGATGGAAATGCAGAGAATACAGAGATCATTAGAGGGATAACTGGAACGAAACAGTAATACAGCTTTATGGTAAATTTCCATATCAGAAGGATTTGTGAACACTGCACAGGATCTAGCATGAATAACTGTTTTAAAAAGGTTCAGAATTAATCCAGGCCTGTGACCCTGACGTGCATGGCAGATTAGTAAACGCTGTAGTGAAGGTCAGAATTAATAGTTATACACTGCTACACAGCACATAGAGACAACAGTCACACAGCATTTACTAGGGAAAGCCAAACCTCACTTCTCTGAAAGTTTGAAACATGTACATTGCAATATAGGCAGGAGCATGTAAAATCAAGAACAGAGGTGAATAGGGCCAATGTGGAAGAGGCAGAGATGTTTATCCGAAAGACTTTTGCTAGTGATAAGAAATGTAGCTGAAGTTGGTACCAGTTTTGTTTTAACGAATTATAGTAGACAGTACACAGATGACTGGTCATGAATACGACAATGTAAGGAAAACACATGACTGCTGCAGGTATTTTG